ATGACATTTATTAATTAATAGATTTTGAGAACCGTTTTAAATTTTTATTGACATCATCCATGGAAGCGAGCAGATATTGATTGGAACTATCATGCGGAAGGAGACAAAATTTTACAATGGTGGTGAAAAGTCTGAGTAATAAAGGTTATACTTTTACAAATATCGATAATCCATGAATGTTGTGAAAACCTTAAAGAGGAACTTCCGGTATGTTTTAATGCCTTTTATGCTAGAGCGCCATCGGTGTCAGCATGAGTACATTCTTTTGTTTTTATTTCAGGATATTTAAATATGTGCAGTTCTAGACTGAGCGATGGCAAATGGCACATGTGTTGGTGTAATGTTAAAGACAATTATCTTAAATGTTATAAAGTGAATAGCGAAGAGTGTGAAATCAAGCTTCATCTGCAGGGCTGTGAAATTAGACCCGTCAGTGACAGCAAGAAAAAAGGGTTGTCATACAAGTTTCAACTTCAGCAAAATAATCAGTCGATAGTTGTCGCACAGGTACAGTCATATTTTGTCACTAAACCATCCATTGTCTTAAGTTCTTTTTATTTCCATTATTTGTCAAATTTTATCATCCATTTGGATGTCTCTTGACAGAGAGGAAAATTTCTAGTCAAGTGCTCATCTATTTAGCTTGATCAGCAGTAACCCTCAGCGTGTAAATCAACTTTCACACAATAAACTAGAATAAAAGCATAATTTTTTCATTTTTTTCCCTAAAAATTGTGATTAAGAATTATAGGCAACCTCTTAAAACAACTACAGAATCAGTTTGGTAGAACATTTTTTTTCCAAAATTTTTATTTTATAGAATATACCGGTAATTTTGAATATGGCAATCCTGACATATTGATAACTTTACGCTGTTTTACCTGTCATTTTATTCTCTCAGTTGTTTGTGTTAGGTGTTGATTCAAGGGTTGACTATTTTGCCATTTCTTGAGGTTATCAAGTTTATTCTTATAAATTTTCCTGTTATTATTTGCCTGAAGTGTCCAGCATCTGTGAGATTGCAGGTTTGATCCATAGTCCATGGTCATCTATACACTCAGCCCCATGTACTGTTTCTGTCTTCAGTTTATGTCCTTTGTCTTTCACTTAACAAATTATTTCTCCAGTAAATAACAGTTTAGACGAAAAAACTCAAATTACACAAAAAAGTGATACCATTTAATAATATCACTATATTGCTATTTATAATCCAGTCACATGCATAAATAGACAAGCGCCCTCTAGAGGTACGTTTTCTTTAACTCAGGGCTCTTTATAAATAATTGATATACAGCAACTTAATCCTTTTGATGTTAAACGTTTGTCAATCCACAAAAATAAAACCCACATTTTTTTCTCAAATTTTGATTAAGATCTGTAGTCAATAGAAATTTATGTTGATTTGGTCCAAAATGATAAATGTTTAATGGTGCTCAATGTTTGAGATATTTTGGATGATAATTTTTTGTCAATAAAATTCTAGCATGGTTATTTTGATTACAATTTACAGGCTAATACCTTAGATGACATGGCAAGGTGGGTACGTGTATTAATCACTGAAATTGGGATTACTGAAGAGGAAGAGGACTTCATGGAAGATTACGTCAGCCCAAATGAAATATTTGAAAGTGTTGTGAAGCGATCTGATGGTGAAGTAGTCACACAGAAAGACATTGTCTCCAAGACAATGAAGTTATTTGAGCACCAGGTATGTGTTGATTGGTTTTTGAGCTTTGACCCTTTTTCGGAAACTAGAATGGGCCTAGAAAAAAATATCCAAGATCAATGCAGATGTGAATTTTATTCAGATTTTAAAATTGGAATAACAATTGGACTTTCCTAGTTTTTTTTTTTAATTCTGACAAAAACCTAAAAACACAATCCATTAGATGACCATAAACATGAATTTTTTCTGAGCCTTCTTTTTTACATTTATTTACATTGCTTTCTAAACTCAGCATAACAAAATTCAGCTTGATTTAACCTAATAATCTGAAACCTATTGCTCTACATTTTTTTGTTCGTTTTTTGCACCTATTTTTTTTTTAACTGCAACTTCTCTAACTTAAAACTCAGCAATTTGAAGATTCCGAAAATCCTTATTTGGAATTAATGATGGGTGGTGATTCAGCCAAAGAAGAGGATGCTGTAAGTTGATTGGTGGATTCAAATGTGGTGGTTGCATAAATTTACATACTATTTACATAAATTTAAATATTTATGTTTAGGGGATCATTCATCTGACTTTTCTTTCACAGAAGTAATATAGGCATTTTATTTTTCAGGATAAAGATTCTTTGTAAATTTAATAATGTAAAGCAGAAGTCAATGTTGTGTGTCAATGTCAATGTTGTATCATGAAAATACAATGTATGCTGTAAATCACTTTTGATCTCACAAATTCAATAGAAATCAAGAAATTAACTAAACTTTTTGCTGGGGCCTATTTATCAAAGGATTACACACATTGTATACTTAGTCATATCAAACACTTGACTACAAAATGCTTATTGCACTTTATAAATGAAGCCATATGTGGTGCTGTGTGGTACCAATGTGCATCTCTGGAAGGATTAACATTTTTGAATGCCAAAGTCAACTTTTGAAAAGTACATAAAAAATGTGCACCCATATGTTTTTGGTGAGAGAAAATATTCAAAGGATTAGTTCTCCTGCTTCTAAATAAAGACACAGGAACATACATAAAAGAGTGTTCAATGTCATCATTCTTTGTAGTTTATTGCAAGTGTATTTCAGTGCAAGTGATGTCATCATTTTGTGTTTCAGTGCAAGTGATGTAATTCTGTGTTTCAATGCAAGTGATGTCATTCTGTGTTTCAGTGCAAGTGATGTCATTCTGTGTTTCAGTGCAAGCAATATCATCATTTTGTGTTTCAGTGCAAGTGATGTAATTCTGTGTTTCAGTGCAAGTGATGTCATTCTGTATTTCAGTGCAAGTGATGTCATCATTTTGTGTTTCAATGCAAGTGATGTCATTCTGTGTTTCAGTGCAAGTGATGTCATTCTGTGTTTCAGTGCAAGTAATATCATCATTTTGTGTTTCAGTGCAAGTGATGTAATTCTGTGTTTCAGTGCAAGTGATGTCATCATTTTGTGTTTCAGTGCAAGTGATGTAATTCTGTGTTTCAGTGCAAGTGATGTCATTTTGTGTTTCAGTGCAAGTGATGTCATTTTGTGTTTCAGTGCAAGTGATGTCATTCTGTGTTTCATTGCAAGTAATATCATCATTTTGTGTTTCAGTGCAAGTGATGTAATTCTGTGTTTCAGTGCAAGTGATGTCATTCTGTGTTTCAGTGCAAGTAATATCATTCTGTTTTCAGTGCAAATGATGTCATCATATTGTGCTTCAGTGCAAGTGATGTCATCATTCTGTGTTTCAGTGCAAGTGATGTCATCATTCTGTGTTTCAGTGCAAGTGATGTCATCATTCTGTGTTTCAGTGCAAGTGATGTCATCATTCTGTGTTTCAGTGCAACTGCATGATGTCATCATTCTGTGTTTCAGTGCAAGTGATGTCATCATTCTGTGTTTCAGTGCAAGTGATGTCATCATTCTGTGTTTCAGTGTAACTGATATGTCATCATTCTGTGTTTCAGTGCAAATGATGTCATTCTGTGTTTAAGTAAAAATGATGTCATCATTCTGTGTTTCAGTGCAAGTGATGTCATCATTCTGTGTTTCAGTGCAGGTGATGTCATCGTTCTGTGTTTAAGTGTTAATGTCATCATTCTTTATGTGTGTTCAGTGCAAGTGATATCATCATTCTTCATGTGTGTTTCAGTGCAAGTGATGTCATCATTTTGTGTTTCAGTGCAAGTGATGTCATTCTGTGTTTCTGTGCAAGTGATGTCACCATTCTTTCTATGTTTCAGTGATGTAAACAATATTTTGTCTTTCACAGCATAAAAAGCGAGATACACCATCTGAATACCACCATGCATTTAGGGCTTTTTTATCAAAGCAGTATTAATTTGAGATGTACACATTATAAGTACATATGAACATACACATACATTGACTTCTGCTGTAATATTAACATATAGCACATTAAATACTGTAGAATACTTTATTTTAGCTGGAATTAATTTTCGCTGACAAGACATTTTGGGTGTTTTGTATAGAATTTATTTTCACTGATTTTTGACAAGTTGACTGTAAAATATAGAAAAAAAGGTATATTTGCTTGATTTTATTTTCACTGAATCATTCCTTCAGCGAAAATAGCAAAAATTAATTCCAAATGAAAATAAAGTAGTACAGTATTTGTTCTATTGGTGCATATGCTTGAGGTATATCCATGGTCATATTTTTATTATCATACATTGAAGGCAATTTTTGGTTTAGATGCACATCTAATAGTCTAATACAGTATTGGTGCTAGTTTCTAAAACATTGAATCAGAACTAGTCAAATATAATAGATAATGGATTCATAATTCTCCATAAATAATTAACTGTACCGTACTAACCTTCAAGTTCCTGATTCCATGAGCTATCCCATCACTATTTATTTATTTATTTATTTATTTATTTATTTATTATTTTTTTTTTTTATTTATCTATTTATTTATTAGCCTGACAAGTTAGCGTAACCCCAACTTGGTGTGGATCGCAGCAGTCCAGGGCGCCACCTACGCTAACTTGGTGTGGATCGCAGCAGTCCAGGGCGCCACCTACGCCAACTTGGTGTGGATCGCAGCAGTCCAGGGCGCCACCTACGCTAACTTGTCAGGCTATTTATTTATCTGCTGTTTTAAATTAGGAGCTTTATTTATCATATGTTTAGTACAGTTTTGGGGGGAATTTAAACAATGTTATAACAAAAATTACCAAAAAATTTTTTCAAATGAATGTAATCCAATTTTTTTTGTATTTTTGGATTATTGCAAATTTTGATTAAAAAAATTCCTGGTGAAATAGTTCAATCAACACTAACCTAAGGATTCCATGTTGACAGGTGGTGGTAGAATTCACAATAAGCTAGGGTGTCAGGTTAAGGTTGACATGTTGCTTTGTAACTGGTGTTTATGTGTACGGTGAGCGTGGGTCACTTTCATTCAGCGGACACACAATCCAACTCTCTATTGATGTGTCTCTCGTAATTGTCGGGTAGACACAAACTGACAACCCCTGCTTGTTTATCATAACACAGGATAAGGACTCCATCAGCAGTACAGAAATGTCCAACTCAGTTGCGAAGGGGGAGACCGTCCGACGGATTGCCGAGCAGCTAGGAAAGACCGTGGCTCCAACAGGTAAATAATCAGTTAATTTCATTGTAACGTGCAGGACAGCCGATATAATGAAGCTGCTAACTTGGGACAGCCTTGTACACGATGATCTGATTCTGGTTAATATGTTATCAAATGTAAACATGAAGGCTATCAACACTGCCATGTGTTATTTAACTGTAGTGACTTTGACCACAAGTGCAGTCACAGCTTAGCGACAGTCTCTATTATAGGGAGTGATCGCTGATAGCACTAAGGTGTTTTCAGTGTACCTGTGGTTGGAACCTATTGAAATGAACAGCTATGTTTTCACATGTCTTTAAATCCTGAATTGGAGCCCCATTCTTTTATGAAGGTCAATGGTAAAATACAAAGCATACATTGTTTTCTAAGCATGTCTGCGTGAAACTGAATACTTCCTTACCTCAATTACAGTTTTTCTTTCTATGTGTGTGTATGTTTTGGCTTGTCAATGAATGGTTATTTGGACGAGAGTTTATTTTGATTGTTTAGTTTGAGTGTGTATGGCTTTGTATGTAGACTGTGAGTTTTGTTTGGCTTTGATTTAATGTTTTGTGTATACTACATTGAGATAGCTGTATTTGTCGTTTTTTAGTGGCTTTAATCGGCCTACTGTTTGAATTGATCTGAGCTTAGTGGGAAACTCATACATTGTAGAAATAACTTTTTTACTGATTGAATTATACAGGTTGCAGGGCAGATTAACAATTGACTGAAATAAATGTCTAAATTTTGAAATTTATTTTTCTTGTTAAAGCTAAGTGGTGTTGCTTCAAGGTTATTTTTACTTGGATAATTTGAACACCAAACTCAGACAGGGAATGTGCGAACTCAATTCGGAGTTCATAACCTCTGAATGAGGTTTAGTCACTTGTTGATGCGAATTTGGGAAAGCCATGGTTAAAGCGGCAAGTGGGCGGGTTTACTCAGGCCTGGTTGATGCCAGGATAAGTGGGATAAATATCCACAATGTTATTATGATAGAAAGATTACATTTGATCTGCAACCCTGTCACATACACATACATATAGTCTCTAACATGGATTATGGTGTTTGTTGGACAATTCACTGCCTTAAAGTTAATTGGAATTTGAACTTGACACTTGCAAAGTGACAATCAATGTATAAAACTATCACCTGGCTCCAAAATAACAAATAATAATTAAACAAAAATCTAAAAATTACATTGTTCTGAAATGAGATGGTATTTTGGTGAGGTATTAAAATTATATCATTTACAGTTTTTGAAAAAAAATACATGATAATACATGAGAATTTACAATAAGCTTACATTGTACTGGACATGCCAATTGTCACCTGCACCAAATACATATTCTAGATGTAAGATGCTTTAAGTGTTTGATCACCAGCAATAAACTTGTATAAAACTATTCAAGTGTGCAGCCAAATTAATAAAATTATCTTGCAAATAATTGTTTCATTCTTTTTCATGTTTTATTTTTATTCATTTTTAGGTTCTCGTTAAAATGAAAATCCTCATTAGCAATCAGTTGTTCATTGTTGCTGGTATTGGTGTCATTGTAATATAATTTAGGTACACTCACTGACCTTGGTTGGTAAGGTCTTTATGTTGGATCTGAACTGCGTCCTAGTTTTTATAGTTGTGAACTAGTTAAAATATAATGTATACAGTTTTAATATCTTGTGTTTGAGAAAATCAAGAAATTTGCGATGTCTATTTTCATTGGGTAATTTAACACAGAGACACGATGATTTTCTGTGTGAATGATGGAAGATGTTTTGTGGCATACATTTAATTGTTACAGTAAGTTAACTATAACAATTTCAGTTGATTGTTTATATTTAATTGTTTGATTGTACTAACACCTGTGCCTCCTCTGCTTTTTTATGTTTTGCTGGTCGTACACAGAATGTTTGTTGGTTCAAATGCAGTTATTGTACTCTTTTCCTTACGGGAGTAATAGGTTTAAGTAATGTTCATTTGATGGTGGGTCTCGTCATTGATTGATCCTGTATTTAAGGTAGCAACAGAGGAATATGAGTTAAACATACAACATAAGTACTACAGTATCCGCCTATTTAATAGCATGCTTAGTCACTTTTGAAGAATGTCTGATTCACGGATCAATTTTTAACTCGTTTGTTACTACCTTAATTGTTTTTAGTTTGTTCAATATCTTTCAAACTACTTGACTAAAATTAATAAATACTTCAGTAGGAGAATAATACTTGATCTCATTTCGGAATGATGTTTATGTAATTAATTCAATAATTATATATATAAAATTAATATAAAATAAATATAATTTATATATGTGTGAATGTAACGTCGTTCAAATCGACAATAGTGTTTGGTTATGTAGTCATTCATTATCTAGAATATAATAAAATCTCTTAAAAACATAATCTTCACCTTCGATGGAAAACTTCAGATCAAAACGATATTTGAACGGCTTTTGTTTCACTCTTTCACACCATAGAAGCATATCATCACTTGATGGCAAGTCTTAGAAGAAAGGTTCATTAAATTCTTCTAAATATATCTAATAGGGTCTATGCTATTGAAAACAAATTCTCAGCAAAGTAGACATATTTAATTGTTAAATGAAAAATAAAATTTTTGAAATGTATTGGAATTTGTATTGTGGTTCATAAATTATGATTTCAATTTTTGATAAATTTTTCAGATGAGAAATGTTTGATGTTAGGAATTGGTACAAAGAAATTTTTTTAAAAAATTCTTGAAAAATCTAATATATCATAGATTTCTGTTGTTGAAGAGAGTGCCAGATGTATTAGTCTGAATGAAATGAAGTAAACTGAAAAGAAAAAAACAAAACAAGCAAATTTCTTTGCTAGGATTGAAAATGATATGTCAGCATGATTGTTAACACATGTGTTACGTACAAAATATTATGATTTCATATGAAGCTGTGTTGTTTTATTAAATATTACTGAACATTATGTACATGTGTATGAAATTCTAGGGTACAAAATACATCAAAATATGAGGTCATTAAGGGGTGGACCTATTAGTATCTTGGGGGATAACAATGCCTTATAAATTAGAGAGAAGTTACCACCCCAAAGAAATAATGGTTTGCCCCTAAAAGAGAACTACGTGTACATGGTAGAATGAGTATTAAGGAAGTAGTTGTAATAACCTAATATGGTAATGTCAGTTTTCTTTGTTTTCAGTTCTTTTTAAATTATGGTTTGTTTTTTTTTCACCTGAAAACATCTTTGATGCATTTCAGATCCCATTGGATTTCCCTTTTTGAATTAGTAGTACCGGTACATTCAATCAAAGCACACACTTACTTTTTCTTCTTTTTAACAAAGAAATACTGTTTTGTGCATGAGCAATACAATTAGTTTACATTAAGTATATATATATATATATAATTAAACATGCATTATCAAACAAAATTAATTAAAATTTATTATTTGCATAAAAATAATTGTATTCTGAAATGTAAAAACAGATGTTAATTTATAATGTCCATAAATAGATAGTTGAATAGATTTTTTAAATAAACAAATTATTTGTAATAATTATGTGATGGTTATGAAGCATTAAGTTTCATTGGACCTTAGACTGAATAGTTGACATAATATTGTGAACTACAACAGGTGTTGCTCTTTTTATCTATATCGTTACAGAAAGGCAAACTTTATTTAGTGTTATTGTGATTGTTCTTCGTTTTCTCACATTAAAATTATTATTAAATAATCATAATTACTGTAAAATACTTTATTTAGCTGGAATTTTGAATCTTTTGTACGGAATTTATTTTCACTGATTTTTGATGAGTTGAATGTGAAATATAGGAAAAAAAGTATATTTGCTGGATTTTATTTTCACTGAATCATCCCTTCAGCGAAAATAGCGAAAATAATTTTTTTTACAGTAAACCAAATAGCTGTATGTGCTTTTTTTATTGGTAACTTTACATAATTCTCTTGTAATTAGCATGCACCAAAGGCAGAACATCAGTGGATAATAAAACAAGATTACCGGGTAACCTTGGAAACCACATCATTTTTTCTGCCAATTTGTATATATTATTCTATAATTTCTTTATTGATTTTGCTTATATACGGTAGGTGTTCATAACAATTTTTGTAAAAATCTGAAAAACATGGAGGTTTTTTGTGATTAGTGTCAAAAGTTTACTTCGGTGCTCAAATTGTTGAAAACAACTTTAGTCAAGGAGTGGGAAAAAACAACCCGGATTCAACACAATTAAACAAATAACTACTGAATTCGGTTTATGACCCAATCTGCTTTTTGTTTAAAAAGATTTTTAACAAAATATTGCAACAATACAACTTTAAAGTACAATGATGTACACTAATTTTCTCTGACGTGAAAACTTTGAGTGCAGTTTAATTTCGAACATGTTCAACTTGAGATAATTTCTGACACGTATCGGTGGTATAATGGTCCATTCATTTGCTTGAAATGAGCCCCACCCTCCTCTGATTTGTGTATTATCAGTCCAGTGAAGCACCACTATACTACATTATAAGCCACTCAAATCCTGACTCAAGGGATTCTTCTAATAAAGCACAATGCTTATCTCTCATAAACTAATTTTCACATTCCAATAATTCTTTTTTCTAATTTTGAATTAAATTTTTATCGAAACATGCAGAGCTTGCTTTTGCATACAGGTTTTGAGCAATTTTTTAAAGCTTTCAATTAAAAAATGTTACGTCAACAGAAAGTAGGCTTTGAAAATGAATGTCTGACAATGGCAGTTATAAAAGCATTAAGAATGGAGTCAGTGAAATAATGTCAATAACATTGCTTTAACCTTTTCATCGCCCAAATTTGTCTGCACATTTTTCTTATACTCTTCAATATTTCTGGAAATGAACTCTAATTTGGGAGCCAACAGAAAAAATTTGAGTCAATTTTCAGTTTTTATTAAATAAAAAAAAATTGCTATTTTTGTCCCAATCTTCTGAAGGAAAGTGCATACTATAAATGGGACTATTTTGTGAATGTGTGATGA